TAAAATTTTTTAAAATAGTAAAACCAATTATTTAGTACACTACAACTTAAAATATTAGAAACACTGAAAATTAAAGTTTTATTTCTCTTCAGAATTTACCAAGAATTCCTGCTTTGTTTTGTCTTAAAATTTACAGTATGTATCAAACATCTTTCCTATGCTTTGACAAATTATGATATTCTTTCTAAGTGCGAATCAGCTTCCAACATTTTCTTTTGCCCTTTCAATCATATGAAGGTCTCTGAGGATGCCTTACATGTCACTTCCTTTAGGCCATCTCCTTTTCTTCACCAACATATCTTCCACCATATCTAGTCATGACAGCAGCAGGCCCCCATCTACTGTCACTATTTCTTGTTCCATCTATGCTAGGTTTGAATTTCACCTCCTGTTTCTTTCTGGGTTTTGATGCATTTTCATCTTTATAGATCATGTGGGTTGATCAATGGGAGACAAAGAGGCTGCACAACTCATACCCTGTCTATGTGTGAAATGGTAACAGAGGCACAGTGACCACACGCCAATAGATCTGAAAAAAAAAAAAGCAGTCAGTCCCCAATCATCTTGTGTTGTTATTTTATGCAGTGAGCTCCAAGTTTATGCTTTACTCAGTTATGGTGAATACACTGAAATCTGACCCATGCTCTGCGGGGTGGATGTTACTTAATTGAACTGTGGTCACTGAATTTGTACATACCAAAACCACACATGGCAAGGACTTGTTTTAAATAAGTTTGTTGTTAGCACAACTTTGACACCAGACTTCTGCATATAATATAGCTCTGCCACTTACTATGTATGTGACTTTACATAGCTCATTTAATTTTCTGGACTTCATTTTTTTCATCAATAAATAGGAGGTTACAGCATAAACTTCATAGGGTTGATGAGGACTACATAAACAGACTCTTAGCAGGCGCTGCATTAAGTTTTAGCTACTATTACACTTGGACTGCACTGCAATCACTGTCTAGCCCAGGAGCAACTAGCCACCTGGGACTACAGCAATTTGAAGTTAATGCTTTAGTGTGGATCTGGAGTGGCCCTAAAAGACCCATGTGTTAAAGACTTGGTCCCCAGTCCATGGTGGGGACATTCAGTAGAGAGGGCCTGGTGATAGGAAATTAGGCTATTGGGGGCATGCCCTTAGGGGAAATGAGGATCCCAGCCCCTTCCTCTTTCTTTTTGTTTATTGACCACCATAAGTCAAACAGCCTTGTAACACAGTTAATTTTAAATAAAACAATTTTAATTCAAAGTTGTAGATGTAGCTCAGTGGTAGAGAGCATGTCCAGGGGAGAGACTCTGAAACCGATCCTCAGCACCTGGGAGAAAACTTCAGTCCCTCAGTTATCCTACCCATATCTGAAGCACTCATCAGTACAGAAGTGAAACCACAGTTAGCTATGTAAATTTTATGTAAATAAATAGTCATCGATAGCTGATATCAATTAGCTTAAAGGAATCACTATGTTTAAGGGGCAAACATGATGTATTGATTACTTTTGTCTTAGCTGTGACTACATACCTGACAGAAAGAACTTAAGGGAGGAAAGATTTAGTTAGCTCATGATTTTAGAGGTTTCAATCCATCATGGCAGGGAGGGCATGGGCAAACAGAGCAGTTCACATTATGGCGGCTGGGAAGCAGAGAAAGAGCATAGGAGAAGGTATCAAGGCACAATACAACCCAAGGCATGCCCCTAGTAAACCCACTTCCTCCAACTAGTCCCCACCTTCTACCATTTACCAACTCCCAATAATGCCATCATATTAGGAATCCATCAAAGGATTAACATATTCATTAGGTCAGAGCTCTTGTGTCTCTGGAAATGTCCTCATAGACATACTCAGAGATGTGCTTTACTAATCTTCTAGGCTTATTTTTTTCTTTTTTGTTTACTATGAATTATACTTTATTTAGTTATTTTGCTTACAACTGAAACTCTGGGAATTCAAAATTAACATTCTGGCAGTAAGCTTCTTAAAGACACCAGAAAATGTTTCAACCTTGTGTTCCACGTTGTTCTGCTGTGCTTTGTCCAAATGAACCTTTATGAGCCAGCTACCATCCAGTTTGACACGGATCTTCTTGCCCCCAGTTTCACTTGGGAAGACCAAGTCCTCAAGGATGCCATCATGCACAGCTGTCAGAGCGAGGATTCTTGGATGCTTTTGCTTACTTTTATTTTTTTCTATGGTTTTTTCAAGTTGGCTTCGGCAGAATTCCCCTCTGGGTAGTAAAGACCACATGCTTCCCAATGAACTTTTCCTCTAGTTCACATACTAGTCAGTTTTGGGTTTTCTGGAAAGACTTAAGTTGAGGAACTGGAACAAAAAATTTTGATAGCTTTGCGACCATTTCCTTGGCTGAAGTAATGTTGAACTCCCACAGCTGGCCTCGAGTTCTGAGTTCATCTCCAGCTCAAGCAGCGCCTGGGAGATGCCCAACTTGAACTAGTCTGGCTTCTCGCCATTGGGCTTCACAATCTTGGTACTTGAGCTGAACATGGACTTGTCCTTGAGGAGTGCCAGCTTGGGAAGAGCTAGCCTTTTTTTTTCTTTTTCTTAATCCAGTCAAACTAACAAGCAAGATTAACCATCAGATATGAGAAACAGCAATGAAAACAAAAAACAATTTCAATAAAAGGTGCCAACAGTGATAGACTGAATGAGATGGAAAAAAGCTTCTTATGGCCAACATTATTATCTTTTAAGAACTTAGCTTACACTTCTGTTATAAACATGTATCAAGATTTGGGATATACTTATACAGAAAATTATTGTTTACCTGAAGTTAGATACATGAAGTGATAGAGTAGCTTGGTTAGAGGAAATACTTCATTATAAATATATGTGAAATGTGACAATGCTCTCCTTAAATATTAATACCTCAAATACTTTTTGTACCTCAAAAATAATAAAATATTTACCTGAAAAAAAACTTACCTTAAAAGTGAAAAAGATTGCATAAATTAAAAAAAAAACTCATTTAAAAAGTAGACTCCATTTATATATATATGCATACATAAAATAAAAGCATTAGGAATAACCTAAGCATTCATACTCATGTATTCCTTCCTTCCTTTTCAAAAGAAATTAAATGCTGAATAGTAGTCCTATAATTATTTTCCTTGACTTCATTTTTCTGCATTTTCAATCACTTCTATAGCAGGCAAATCCCTAGATAACTTACAACACCCCTATCTGAGCAGAAGACACTTTTGCCTCACTGGAGCCACATCAGTTATAGGCTCTGTCTCCCAGGCTGGCTCAACCCAGGACTTCACACAACTCATGCTAAATAAACACTTGCCAAAATGATCTGGATTAGCAAAGCTTTATTCTAAGATAGCAAGCATCCACATTATGATGATAAAAAACAAAAAAGTTTCTGGAAAAAAAGGAATTATTAAAAAGCTTAAAGAAAAAGATTACATTAAAAAAATCCTGAGGGTTTCATAAAGTGACCATTTATGTAAGTCAAGTCCAACTTGATCCAAAAAGTGCAAACTTCAATAAAAAGGTAATATGACACATTTCTAGAAGAAATTTAGGGTTAGAAAGGAATATAAATAATACAACTTTCTCCACAACTTTTATACCACAATTCCCATGGAAAGATTTCCCAACCTTACTTTAAAAAGAAAAAACTATTACCATACAATGTTAAGCCTAATGCACAAAAGGGACCCTTAGTGTTTTCCAAACCTGAACAAGTATTTGTTTTACTGACAGACTGATATACTAACTATGTCAGCTATTCCTATATGTCATTTTAAAAAAGTTACTGAAGTAATCTCATTTTTCATATAGATATTATGGTTGGACGACAATTTTTACAATGTAAATAACATCCCTGCACAGAAAATACCCTTTCAAAACTTTAAAATGTCTGACTACACTAATATAAGTATCAGTAAATAGTTATTTAGGTAGAATCCAGAATACATTCATCTTAACAAAGTTGGTGAATTGGTTCTTAGAACAAAAACATAGTAAAATCTCAAGGCAAGTAATATTAACAGAAGTAAGAATCAGAGGAAAAGATTTTTAAGTGCTGCTAAAACCACAAATTTAGAATGAAATCCAAGTATTCAAATTCTAACACCAAAGAACGCCTACACCAAATTAAAAGCTTCTTTCTAGAAAATACTTTCTTATTAGGAATATCCCAGAATTGTGAACAAACTTTTACACAAATGTTCAGAAGTTCTGCTCACTGAACTAAAATAAGCTACAAGTACAAAATTAGCTTTATATCACAGTCTTGCATTCATGGAATTTTAAAGATACAATGTGAGGTTTCTTAATTTTTTTCTTTTCTTCTTTATAAGGAAATCATGTTGCTACACTGAATTTTAAAACAAGGATATTAGGATTCATATGGGTATTGTTGAACCACATGTGTGAAGCAGGATAACATCCTTTTAGGCCACTAATATTACAATAAGGACTAATTCACCTGATGAGTTTCTTCTACATCAGTTGGATAAGTAAGTGGGGCCCAGGATGACAGAAAAAGGATAAAAGGAGAGGTGAACAGGACCCAAACTTTGCATATATCAGCTTCTCCTGGACCTACAATTTTTACAAAATGTCTGAATTAGACACACTTTTCAACAGATAGCTGTCAAGGTGTAAACAAACAAATGATACCTAAGAATCTGTCATCCCGGGGGGTTTTTCTGGTTTTGGTCAATGACAATTCTGGCTGCTGTTTAAGGCTATTTAGATACTGGTGTGCTTTAGGGTAGCAAATTTTATTTCTTAAGAAGTGTAAGTACTATAATGACTTGTTTTCAATTATGGTTTCTCATAAATAAAACAGAAATAGAACATTCACTTTCAATGTTTCTATTACCCTTTACATTCATTGCTATTTAAAATGACTGCTGAAATGCAGCTTACCACCTTGTCCTTTGCAATCAGGTCCAAGAACTATATTAAAGCTTGTTATAAAATCCATAAATAGTTTTGGATAGTAGGATAAAACTTACTGTTCAAAACATTCTCTAGTTTCTGCGTCATGGATCCTTCTACTTTTTCCGTTCCATCCGCTTCTAGTTTTTGATGGATGGCTAGAAAAAAAATCCATCCTAGTTAAAATGTAGGCTGTTTTAATGTGTGGGAAAATATTACATCAAAAATGACATTTTTAAGCAGCTTTTACAAATGCTCATATTATTTTCATTGCTGGAAAGGAGCACAAACATGCAGTACTCTGCAAAGTACCCACCAAATACAATCTACATTACTCATAGTTTAAGATATACATTATTACAAAAGTTCATTACACATACTCATCCCATCCTCAAGACTGAGTGGTAAAAGCTGTTGAATGAAATAAGAAAACAGAAAAGTGAGACTTCAGGGATCCTGGGTCTTATTAGTAGTATCTTGTTCTAAAGAAACACCTAGCAATCTACCAATATATCAACTCTGGATGCATAAAATACATGGAAGACTTTACTTATGTTATCTCTGATCCTGATAAAGATTACTGGGGAATCACTTAATATACACTTAAAAGTTGTTTACTAAAGATGAAAAGTTATAAATAGAGCAAAGCAGGTTTATTTAGATGAAGAATTAAGAAAAATTTAAAACAAAATCATCACATATAATTTCAAATTAGACGCTATGGCCTGATGAAAAATCATAAAAACAGCACAGCAAACATTAAACTGTGACTGCAAGTTAAGCACTCCTACTCTCTAATGTATGTTTGTCATCTTATAAGAAGCCAGTGATGTATGTCCTAGTGTCATGTCCATTTCATGGATGGAAAAGCCATGACTTCATAAAATTAAACAAGTTGACCAAGGTCACAAAGGCAAATTCAAAATGTGAACTCAAGCAGTCTGGCCTCAACACTTAAAACCTTATCCCATACTGCCTAGGTAGAATGGACAAACAACCTATACTGCCTAAGCTTCTGTTTCCATATCTATAAAATATGAACAATAGACTTATACCCATTGTGAATTCATCTAGTTGCAAATAAAAGAGAATTGCTCTCCTCAAAATAGTAACTGCTAAAACACCGTGGATTTCTATTCTTCCACAAAATTGCTCTAGTGAAAATCCAAATGCTTACCTCCTTGGCCTTTCTCAGCAGTATAGGAAAATGAACAGCACTCTTAAGTATTAGCTATTGTCTCTCTCGAAAGGAACTAACAGACTCTGCTTAACACACTAATCACAGATGGCAGATTTATGCTAAACAAACAAACCAGTCTGCTTATGCAAATGTGTATATGTATTTGTTTTATGAGACCTATACTATTCAATGTGTTTTTCTTGACTCATTGATTGAAAAATTCCGAGTCAAATTTAGTGTCCAAATGCACTATGAACATATTATCAATTCCTGATAACATCTACTTTTCTGTTCCTTTCAGTTTCTAATCTTGTTCTTTTTAGTATTCTTTTCTTATAAAGTCGCCTCAAATTTTGTTTGAAATTCTAAAATAAACAGACTGCTCCTGTGTTGAAGAAACACATTCATAGAAAGAAAAATAAATCCTTTAGGGAGAAAAGAACTAACCACTGCATTTTTAATTGCCCTGGTTGATTTAGAGGTGAAGGGAAAGTTATTTATTCAGTTTTCAAACTTAAATTATGTGGTAGCAGTGACAAAGAATGTTTCCACATATCAAAGCATAAATTTACATTCAACTTGTAAAGTTAAATGGAAAAGAACTCTCTATTTTATTGAGAAGAGGAGACAGACTAAGTAAGTATTAAAAGCTAAACTAGAGAGACTTCCATTCTCTGTGTGAGCAAATCTGCTCATGCTCTTCACTTAAATGTGATTTTCTGGTCCTGGCTGCAAAAGAAAACCAGGCACATTGTGAAGCTTTACTGAGCGGGGGGACTGCATGTGGCTTGTCCTGAGCAGTCGGTATTACATCTTACACAGCCCTGCCTTGAGTCTTTTTTACAGTTAGCATTTAAAGGAAATCATGCAGTCACATCTTCTGATGTGACATAACCCATCACTGATCAGCAGGTCACAATGAGGTGACCCTGATTGCCCAGCTCGGTTTACAGCCCTTTCTGCTGACAAAGCAACTTCCTCCAGACCATCTCCACCATAACTGAACCACTGTCAAGCTGTCAACCAAACACAAGGGCTGGGAGACACTGGGATCTGATAAAGGCAATCCTATTTTCCAGAAAATTAAACAAAATAACCCAATGTCTGGTTCACTTGACCTTGTATTTTCTCTGAAAACATTTTCAAATAGAATAACTCAATAAGCAACTTGGTACATGATCACAGGTTTGTTATTGTTTCTAATCTATTAAAACTTAAATATGTGAAGCAGCTGGGCACCATAAGTTTATACTTTTAAACCAAAAAGGTATGTATAAAAATATTGCTCAAAGAGAAGTCAAGGTTATACAAAGGTTGCCTACTGATTCACTGGAATAATTTGCTCGTTTTATTTAATTTGAATAAAATGTGGATGTCAAATTTGCAATTTCAATTGAGAAATTCAAAATTCTGTTCATGCATTTAAATACTTGTCATTACTAAGTGAAGCACTAAGGGATGACGTGTATATGGGTGATATTTACGAGGATTTGGCATTAGGCATGTTTATATACATGCTGTAGCCACTGTGTATTACTGCTAGCCTGTGTGAGGTAGGAATACTCAAACCAGATCAGAGACTGACAAACTAGTCCTACGAAAGCCAGGGGGTAATTATTTTATATAGCCTTATCACTCTATCACATATTCATCATCATATTCATTTTCTCTCTCCCTCCCTCCCTCCTTCCTTCTTGCCCTGTCCCTCTCTTTTTCTCTCCCTCTCTCTCTCTGCAACCCTTGAAAACCATACCTATGTTTAGCTCTTGGCCTGCATAAACAGGCTGTGGCCCAATTTGGCTAGCAGGCCAGCTTCTGACAGTTATATATACTAAACAGATAAGAAAGGGTGAAGCACCTTATTAATTTATATTTATAAAGAGCCTTTCACACATTTAGTTTCTACCTTTTATTCTACTAAACTTTTGTCAGTGCTGTGCTCCAGATATTAAATATCTCCCAAAGAGCCATGTATTAAAGAAATGATCCCTGGGCTGGTGCTATTGGGAGGTAGTGGGATCTTTAAGATGTGGGCCTAGTAGGACTAAGTTAGGTCACTGAGACCGTAACCTTAAAGGAGAAATTGAGACCCTAGCCCCTTCCCTTCTCTCTCTTCTTGGTTTTGTGGTCATAAGGCAAACAATTTTCTCTGTCACAAACTCCTACCTTGATGCTTCTGCCTCTTAGAGGTCCAAAGCAGCCCCTCCCCCAACTAACTTTGCACCTCTAGAACAGAGAACCAAAATAAACCTTTTCTCTTACAACTCAGTTATTTCAAGCATTTAGTTATAGTGACAGAAAGCTAACACAGAACGGCTAAATAATATATAAATGATATTTAAACTGGTTAAGTAATATGTGACTCCTTTCTTCAGTTATAGTGAAGAAAATAATTTCACCTATTACATAGAAGACTAACAGGTAGGAATGACTCTCACTTAGATAATTGGACCTTAGAAAGCCATACCTGCCTAGTTTATCTTTATATATCAACAGAAACTAGCAAGAGCATATGCCAAAAATAAATAAATAAATAAATTCTGGCTCATACAACCCAGAGGAAGTACATGGAAAAAGGAGATCAGCATAACAAGCAGCATGTGTTATCTCCCTGCTTTGGTCTTTAGTGTACAACAAATACTCATTCAGACAGTTTTGTCCTATGCTTGTTCTCAAAAGAAGCAAGCAACAGTGCTGGGCTTGCCACTAAAAACAAGTGACTATACAAGTTATTAACTGCATAAGCTCAAGGAGTTCAGTGGAATGGTGACTGAAATAAAGGAGGCACCAAGGAGCTTAGAAAGGCTTCAACATTAGGAGAAGCTCCACAAACATCTCTGCAACCTGAGGATTGTGAGTTCAAGGCCAGCCTGGGCTACATATTGAGACCCTAACTAAGAAGAGAGGAAGAGGGAAGGAGGAAGAAAAGACAAGACAAGAAGACAGGAGAAGAGAAAACAAGAAACGGAGCTATACTAAATATACTGAGATTGACACTGACAGGTAAATTATGCCAGACACACTTCTGGTCTAATTCTAATTAAAATACTTGTGGATACACACAGGAAAAAAGCAAAACCAAACAAAGACATAAAATCTTAAAGAAGAATTACTTACTGGGACTGAAAAAACAAAGTTGGGTTGGGTCTGAACAATCTACTCAATCACAAAGAACATAGGTGACATTCAGAAGAGCAAGAAAAGCTTTGATTTATACCCAACTCCTATATCTATTCCTAACTATAACACAGGGCAGCACAGACCAGAAACATCTTCAAATCCTCAAAACTACAATCGGAACTATAATTCTACTGCTCCACTGTCCTCTCCTCTAATAACTCCTTTTGTTTTACAACTATTTAGAGACCAGTTTCTCCATATCCAGCATGGCAAGAAACAGAACAACACTAGGAGAGGCACTCCTGTTAGGAAGCTACGCAGCCTACTGAAAAGGAGGCAGGGGGACCAAGCAGGGTAGAAGAAAAGGAACAATATTCTTATAAGGCATTTAAGTTTTAAGAATTGAAAATATTGGTCTACAGATTCCAAAGGCTTTCAAATGTTAGGTGAAGTCAATGAAAACAAGACTTACACTCCAGCACATCCTGCAGAAGTGTCTCCTGCCTCCCTGTCTGTTCCTCCCTCCGGTTCTCTTTCTCTCTGCCTGCTTGCCTGCCTGTATTTTTTTAATTCAAAGCTAAACAAATTCATCTTGTAAGCATTTAAGTAGAGATAAAAATGAATAATTTACCTAAAAATAAAAGAATTATCTTGGTTAAGAATCTCTTCTGTACAATACTAAGACACTGGATAAATGCCTTCACTCTTGCAGCCCAGTGGTTGCTCATGTGTGAAGAACAAGAGGCATCTTCAAACATCATCTCCTGATGATACACAACAAAATAAAATTTTAAAAAAATCAAAAAAAGGAAAGATGATATGTGGATGGACTGCTGGTAAAAACAGAAAACAAT